CTGTGTAGTTAGGAGACTTGTCGGTGTAACATGTTGTGTTACTCTTGTTTCTGTGTAGTTACGAGACTTGTCGGTGTAACATGTTGTGTTACGCTTGTTTCTGTGTAGTTAGGAGACTTGTCGGTGTAGCATGTTGTGTTACTCTTGTTTCTGTGTAGTTAGGAGACATGTCGGTGTAGCATGTTGTGTTACGCTTGTTTCTGTGTAGTTAGGAGACTTGTCGGTGTAACATGTTGTGTTACTCTTGTTTCTGTGTAGTTAGGAGACATGTCGGTGTAACATGTTGTGTTACGCTTGTTTCTGTGTAGTTAGGAGACTTGTCGGTGTAACATGTTGTGTTACTCTTGTTTCTGTGTAGTTACGAGACTTGTCGGTGTAACATGTTGTGTTACGCTTGTTTCTGTGTAGTTAGGAGACTTGTCGGTGTAACATGTTGTGTTACGCTTGTTTCTGTGTAGTTAGGAGACTTGTCGGTGTAACATGTTGTGTTACGCTTGTTTCTGTGTAGTTAGGAGACTTGTCGGTGTAACATGTTGTGTTACTCTTGTTTCTGTGTAGTTACGAGACTTGTCGGTGTAGCATGTTGTGTTACGCTTGTTTCTGTGTAGTTAGGAGACTTGTCGGTGTAACATGTTGTGTTACTCTTGTTTCTGTGTAGTTAGGAGACTTGTCGGTGTAACATGTTGTGTTACGCTTGTTTCTGTGTAGTTAGGAGACATGTCGGTGTAACATGTTGTGTTACGCTTGTTTCTGTGTAGTTAGGAGACATGTCGGTGTAACATGTTGTGTTACTCTTGTTTCTGTGTAGTTACGAGACTTGTCGGTGTAACATGTTGTGTTACGCTTGTTTCTGTGTAGTTAGGAGACATGTCGGTGTAACATGTTGTGTTACGCTTGTTTCTGTGTAGTTAGGAGACTTGTCGGTGTAACATGTTGTGTTTCTCTTGTTTCTGTGTAGTTAGGAGACTTGTCGGTGTAACATGTTGTGTTACGCTTGTTTCTGTGTAGTTAGGAGACTTGTCGGTGTAACATGTTGTGTTACTCTTGTTTCTGTGTAGTTAGGAGACTTGTCGGTGTAACATGTTGTGTTACTCTTGTTTCTGTGTAGTTAGGAGACTTGTCGGTGTAACATGTTGTGTTACTCTTGTTTCTGTGTAGTTAGGAGACTTGTCGGTGTAACATGTTGTGTTACGCTTGTTTATGTGTAGTTAGGAGACTTGTCGGTGTAACATGTTGTGTTACGCTTGTTTCTGTGTAGTTAGGAGACTTGTCGGTGTAACATGTTGTGTTACTCTTGTTTCTGTGTAGTTAGGAGACTTGTCGGTGTAACATGTTGTGTTACTCTTGTTTCTGTGTAGTTAGGAGACTTGTCGGTGTAACATGTTGTGTTACTCAGGTTTTTGTCTTTTGTGTGTGTGTGTGTGTGTGTATGTGTGTGTGTGTGTGTGGGAGGGTGTGTGTGTGTGTGTGTGTGTGTGTGTGTGTGTGTGTGTGTGTGTGTGTGTGTGTGTGTGTGTGTGTGTGTGTGTGTGTGTGTGTGTGTGTGTGTGTGTGTGTGTGTGGTGTGTGTGTGTGTGTGTGTGTGTGTGTGTGTGTGTGTGTGTGTGTGTGTGTGTGTGTGTGTGTGTGTGTGTGTGTGTGTGTGTGTGTGTGTGTGTGTGTGTGTGTGTGTGTGAGGGTGTGGGTGTGTGGGTGTGTAAACTTTTGGAAACCCAATCATCAAACAAATCCAGGTACTTTGGGAATATGTGTCTTTAATGAGGACCGAATCATTCTTTTTTTAAATGCTTTGGAAGCCAAGTTATAATTACCACCTCGAGTCAAACTGCTAAAATGGTAATGACGATTTTTCTGACAATGGCAACTCGTTTATTTGTTATTGGTACGCGCGGTTCGTGTTTTGTAAGTGGCTGTGTTAACATGCGTGTATGATCATACTTGATAAAGCCTTTTGTAATAGACCGTAGTTGTCTCATCTACGTGAATCGCTAAATCATGTATGTGTTCCGTATTTTTCGATTTTTAAAGCATGCTAACGTCATTTAAGCTTTCACTACATGTATATTGGGATGAGTTGATTTTATCTAACGTAATTTTCTCTTTACATCATGCTGATCTTTTCTGATTATGTTATACCTGTTACCAACGTTGAATATATCGATCTATTCATCCATCTACAGCGTATGTAGAAAAATAGAATACATGTTTGGAGGAACAAGAAAAATCGACATGGGTGAAAATGTCAAAATGGAGATAGTGATTTACAGTTGCAGTAAAATTCGATGCGTTTCATGTTTTACAATGATGTGTTATCCGGAAAGAACACCAAAGATGTTAAAGATATTCCTTGTTTCTTGTTGAATAACAGTTATCGTTCATCGTGTGTTATTGTACTTTTCTCGTGGAGTTAGAGCGGTGGTTAAGCTTGCTTACATAACCCATGTTCCATTTGACTATTCTTATAGTAAACCGTCGTTCTAGTATGGTTTGTGGGAACAACAGAGAAAATGCTGACATGTCAACAAAATCTGTATTAAACTAAAATTCGATGGAAAATAGGGAAAATATAAACGAAAGAAAGATCCGCGTTGAAACACGTGAAAAACGTAAAATGAGAGCAAGGTAAACACCAACGGAACTACCATGCATGCTAATGAGCATCAAATATGCCCAGCTTCCTATCGTACAAGGGATTTTCCTGCTAAGATCATTATATATGAGGGCTATACATTTTTCCAGTATCTTTATAAATCTGTGTCTCTTAGCACCCTGTGTTGAGATGTAGCCTGTAAATTGTAGGAGAAATCGTGATTTTGGGAACCAACCCTTGAATATTGAATCAGCTTCAGCATGTAAATATCGTAGGTTTGGGATGCAGGGGTTTGCTCTCCAGAAATGGAAATTTTCCAATAAGAATATTAAATTCGTTACGCTTTTTATACGGCTTGACAGAGAACTGTCTTAGTAAGCGGCAGATGTAGAATAGTTTGTCGTGTCTTTGATTTCCAATTTTTAGAGTTATATACGATAGACATGATCAAAAATATTTTTGTCTTGTGACAAGATATCATAAATATACAAGTATGTGAAATTGAAATTGAAGGACTTCGTAAGATCTTTTATACCTCTTAAAACATCAACTTCGTATGGAAACAAAAAACAGGTCAAGAGAGGAACGCAGTTTACTTCCATAAGTATGCCAGCTATTTGTCGGAAGGTCTTACCAGACAATTGTGTATACATATTATTCACCTCTATCACAATTGTTAAACCCCTAAGGTGTATAGAATCCGTGTGATGCCTTCAGTTCATACTTTCTTTGTAATGTTTCTGTTTCGTAAAAATAGACATCCTTTCTGCACTATACAAGTAAACATACCATATTTAGAATGAGACAAACTTCTTTCGAAATCTGTGTTCGCCACCATAATCTTTTTCAAAGAATGATGGTAACAAATGAATCTGCTCTTTAAATGAGAAGCGCGTCTCTGTTAAAGGTTTATTGTATTCGCCTGGTATAAGAAGCTATATCTTACCTTTATAATGGAAAGTACATTTTACCTTGTATGTCATGTACATCCTACTTTGTATGTCATGAACATTCTACTTAATATGTCATGTACATCCTACCTTGTATGCCATGTACATCCTACCGTGTATGTCATGTACATCCTACCTTGTATGTCATGTACATTCTACCTTGTATGTCATGTACATCCTACTTTGTATGTCATGAACATTCTACTTTGTATGTCATGTACATCCTACCTTGTATGTCATGTACATCCTACCTTGTATGTCATGTACATCCTACCTTGTATGCCATCCTACCTTGTATGTCATGTACATCGTACCTTGTATGTCATGTACATCATACTTGGTATGTCATGTACATTGTACCTTGTATGTCATGTACATCCTACCTTGAATGTCATGTACATTCTACCTTGTATGTCATAAACATTCTACCTTGCATGTCATGTAAATTCTTCACTGTATGTGATCCTACCTTGTGTGCCATCCTATTCGATTACACATTAAGTCAATAACTCTTCTGACATAAGTTTAAATATTAAATAGGCAATATTTAAAGCAAACAGAAAGGATATTTGTTTTTGATGTCACTTAATTAGGATTAATCAAATTTCTGTTAACGAGGACATTAACAGTCGATAAAAATAGGAATAAAACATGATGTTTGTACGGTAACACGCTAAGTAAAAATAATTTCATTAATTATGTTTTTTTTTTTATGAAATCACCCCTTTTGATGTAATATCGCTCAACCATAGTTGTTTGGAAATTAAACTCCATGATTTTCACCTCTGTTTCTTGACTAAGTGTCAACAATATTCACATATCAAAGCAATGCTGTTAAAATGTCCCTGTTGTCAATAGACGTTGTTTGTGGACTTCACACGTCACGGTGATAGATATACGGTAACAGAATCAGTGTATTAGATCGCGTGAATGTTAACTCTATCGCGACTGAACACGACAATAATTAATTATTCTATCAATAACAGGTCAAGATAATTAATTTTCATGTACCTTTCCAGTAAAGATGTTTGTGATACATGGCGCTGCATACCGTTTATCTGTGGATATCTATGTGCGCTGAATATATTGACTGTAAATTTAGGTGCTAAAAGCCGCTATATACTCAAATGTGGATGCCTTTGCTAAAGGGTTTCTGTGATTAACTTGATAACGGATGCTGCATACAAATAATGGAAAACTGGTTACATGATTATTTGTCTTCGCTGCACACCCTGGCCTTTTGCTGGAAGTCGCTGTACACCCTGGCCTTTTGCTGGAAGTCGCTATACATCCTGGCCTTTTGCTGAAAGTCGCTGTATACCCTGGCCTTTTGCTGAAGGTCGCTGTACACCCTGGCCTTTTGCTGAAGGTCGCTGTATACCCTGGCCTATTGACGAAGACCGCTGTATACCCTGGCTTTTTGCTGAAGACCGCTGTATACCCTGGCCTTTTGTTGAAGGTCACTGTATACCCTGGCCTTTTGCTGAAGGTCGCTGTACACCCTGGCCTTTTGATGAAGGTCGCTGTACACCCTGGGCTTTTGCTGAAGACCGCTGTATACCCTGGCCTTTTGCTGAAGGTCGCTGTACACCCTGGCCTTTTGCTGAAGGTCGCTGTACACCCTGGCCTTTTGCTGAAGGTCGCTGTATACCCTGGCCTTTTGCTGAAGGTCGCTGTATACCCTGGCCTATTGACGAAGACCGCTGTATACCCTGGCCTTTTGCTGGAAGTCGCTGTACACCCTGGCCTTTTGCTGAAGGTCGCTGTATACCCTGGCCTTTTGCTGAAGGTCGCTGTATACCCTGGCCTTTTGCTGAAGACCGCTGTATACCCTGGCCTTTTGTTGAAGGTCACTGTATACCCTGGCCTTTTGCTGAAGGTCGCTGTACACCCTGGCCTTTTGATGAAGGTCGCTGTACACCCTGGGCTTTTGCTGAAGACCGCTGTATACCCTGGCCTTTTGCTGAAGGTCGCTGTACACCCTGGCCTTTTGCTGAAGACCGCTGTATTCCCTGGCCTTTTGCTGAAGGTCGCTGTACACCCTGGCCTTTTGCTGAAGGTCACTGTACACCCTGGCCTTTTGCTGAAGACCGCTGTATACCCTGGCCTTTTGCTGAAGGTCACTGTACACCCTGGTCTTTTGTTGAAGGTCGCTGCATACCCTGACCTTTTGCTGAATGCCGCTGTATTCCTGGCCTTTTGCTGAATGCTGCTGTATACCCTGGTCTGAAGGCCGCTAGAGGCTCGTCGATATGGTTTTTTTTGTCCTATGTATCCTGTGGAGTTGTGTAAAAGTGGCAGCTGTACACATTAAATTTGTGATAAAAGTCTATGTCTACCCTTCGGCTGTAGATTTCTGTACTGATGGTCGCTAGGTATAAAAAAACATACAGGTTTCCAGAACAAACAACTACCCTAACCATACCATCACCTATGGATTTTGGTATTAATGACCGCTGTATAGCAAAACCCGCGGATTTTTAGTACTTAAGAAGGCTTATTTTACCCTTCAACTGTGGCTTTATGTGCTTAATTGCTGTAAATCTTTGATCTTGTCTTAGTTTCTAACATAACCTTTCTGACTGGAATTATTTTTTCTTTGTTTTCTTTCTGTTTTACTGGTAGTGATGTACCAGTCTCTACCAATGAATGCACTTCTCTTTAGGTGTCAGTTTCTCCATTCTTAATTCCTTTTGTTTCTTTATTTCAAACGCTTCTCCTCTTCCATTTCGATGATCCTTTCTTAGTTTATGTTGCCATGGATTTAACCTTGTCTTACCTTGTGTTGGGATAACAATTTCTCCATTTTCGTTGCCATGGATTTAACCTTGTCTTACCTTGTGTTGGGATAACAATTTCTCCATTTTCGTTGCCATGGATTTAACCTTGTCTTACCTTGTGTTGGGATAACAATTTCTCCATTTTCGTTGCCATGGATTTAACCTTGTCTTACCTTGTGTTGGGATAACAATTTCTCCATTTTCGTTGCCATGGATTCTAACCTTGCTTTACCTTGTGTTGGGATAACAATTTCTCCATTTTCGTTGCCATGGATTCTAACCTTGCTTTACCTTGTGTTGGGATAACAATTTTTCCGTTTTTGGTTTTTTTTCTCACCTTTTTAGGTGAATGACGCTTAGCTTTAAAAAGACTAAAACACTCGAACAATACGGAAGAGCCCCTCCAGGAATGACCATCACTCTGATTAGCACATGACACATTCTACATAGCTCACCTTGTCGACAATGGAATCTGCGTTAGAGGTTGAGGGTATTGTGTTTGCTATCGGATCTCATTGCACAGAATCACTGGCTTCTATAACATGATTGATTTGCGGGAATTATTTTCCATTTCAGCCCTTCGGCTGTTTGGTTTACATCTTTCAGATACCAATATTGACAAAATTTAAACTCATTTTTTTTTTAAATTCAAATAAAACAGGAGCATTGCCTATGTTACTTGGCTAGGATGTTTCAACAGCAATTGTCTACGAAAGACGTTTTCGTCTACAGTTTCAAAAGTATATATATTTGTATATATTCTCTCTTTTTTTGAAATTACCCTAGGGGAATTTCTTATATTATAATTCAAGGCCAGTAACCTTGCAACCCTAAACACACTATAAAAACAACAAAAAATACAAACATGAAAACATTATCATAGTTTAAACCAAAGATCATTAAAATTGAGAAAAAAAATCAACAGAGGCAAGATTACACGGAGATTCATGATAAGAAGATTAAGACCAATTTTCCATGTCAATCCATGTGAATAATGTGACAATGAAAACAGCGTATACAACAACGGAACCATTAAGCACGCTTCACATCGCACAAAGACGTAGAACATTTCTCAGTATAGCAGGCTGTGATGCTATCTAATACATTTTAAAAGTTATTATGCAAACTTTCCTCTGTTAAATATTCCCTCATCGATTTTGAGCTAGAACTACGTGTTTCGCATTTTTGCAAGCTGACACTGAAAAAATATTTTTTCACTAGAATAACAAATTCCGTTTAATCGACTTTACGCAAACAGCGCGCTACTGATTAATACTCACGAGACTTAAGGAAAACGCTGACAATAAGGTTTCATTCAATATCAGGACATTTGTAATTAAAAGGCCAGGGTGACAAAATAAGACTCACAGGGAAAGAACATCGCTGCTCAGTCTTAGAATCAGTGCTATGATAAGAAACGGCTGTCAACACGGCTCTAAAAATGAAGCCGACGGTGAAGTGTTAAGTAAAGACGATAATGGTGCTCTCTACAATTCAACTATCGATAACATGGATCGACCTAATTCTCCAGTCTGGGGGTGATAAAGAAAATATCACCGACAATTCTTGATTTAATAATAGCTTAACGAGTTCTGTCAGGTTAAAACCTTGGAGATTTCCTTAGTAATATTTACCGTATTATTCCTTATGACATATACTACCTATATTCAATAAACTGGCATAAGGGGGGGGGGTTGTGATTGGGGGAGGGGGTTTGAAGAGATAGAAGCTAAATCTGAGTGAGGGTTATATTTCTCTTTTTGAAAGAGTTGCTAGATTTTTTTTATCCAAAGACTCTATGGTGGTAATGGTACCAAACTAGAGAAATTTCTTTTAATGTTGTATCATTATTATTAATATCATTATTTCCTTAAGAAGTTGTATATATAGTCGCCTCCCAAGTCTCTCTGGTACAGGTACAAACAATAAACTCCAATTGCCTGGTACAGTCTTGTACTAAACTAGAAGGTAACAGCAGGCATATGCCTAGCTCAAAGGCTTACAACGGAACTGAATAGTTACATGTAGGATAAAATCAATATACATGTATTTGACAATTAACTAAGTAAACAATCATCACTTAAAAATTGACAAAAATATAAGATGAGCTTCCCTTAACCTATAGTAGTCATCAATTGTCCATATCCGGTCACAGAGTAAAGTGTCCTGACAGCTATATCTGACACATACACACCAGTCACAGAGTAAGGTGTCCTGACAGCTACATCTGACACATACACACCGGTCACAGAGTGAGGTGTCCAGACAGCTATATCTGACATATACACCGGTCACAGAGTAAGGTGTCCTGACAGCTATATCTGACACATACACACCGGTCACCGGGTAAGGTGTCCTGACAGCTATATCTGACATATACACCGGTCACAGAGTAAGGTGTCCTGACAGCTATATCTGACATATACACCGGTCACAGAATAAGGTGTCCTGACAGCTATATCTGACACATACACACCGGTCACCGGGTAAGGTGTCCTGACAGCTATATCTGACATATACACCGGTCACAGAGTAAGGTGTCCTGACAGCTATATCTGACATATACACCGGTTACAGAGTTAGGTGTCCTGACAGCTATATCTGACATATGAGGTGTCCTGACAGCTATATCTGACATATACACCGGTCACAGAGTAAGGTGTCCTGACAGCTATATCAGACATATGAGGTGTCCTGAAAGCTATATCTGACATATACACCGGTCACAGAGTAAGGTGTCCTGACAGCTATATCTGACATATACACCTGTCACAGAGTAAGATGTCCTGACAGCTATATCTTATATATACACTGGTCACAGAGTAAGGTGTCCTGACAGCTATATCTGACATATACACCAGTCAGAGTAAGGTGTCCTGACAGCTATGTCTGGCATATACACCTGTCACAGAGTAAGGTGTCCTGACAGCTATATCTGACATATACACCGGTCACAGAGTAAGGTGTCCTGACAGCTATATCTGACATATACACCGGTCACAGAGTAAGGTGTCCTGACAGCTATATCTGACATATACACCTGTCACAGAGTAAGGTGTCCTGACAGCTATATCTGACATATACACCTGTCACAGAGTATGATGTCCTGACAGCTATATCTGACATATACACCTGTCACAGAGTAAGGTGTCCTGACAGCTATATCTGACATATACACCTGTCACAGAGTATGATGTCCTGACAGCTATATCTTATATATACACTGGTCACAGAGTAAGGTGTCCTGACAGCTATATCTGACATATGCACCGGTCACAGAGTAAAGAGTTCCGACAGCTCTAAAATCACTCAGTATTGTGTAACCAGTACGTCATTATTTCACATTTGATATATATATAAGGGCCTTTTTTTTAAGTATTTGGAAGTCAGGACCCGTGCAACAGATATGATTTTCGATGCCAAGTGTACTGTTTTGAAAGAAAATATTGTTTTATTGGGATTAAATGTAAGATATCAGATTATGTTGATAACTTGTTGGAGTTTTCCTATTTTTTTCCCATTGCCCATGTTATGCCCGTATTTTGGGGTTTTTTTTTTTTTTGTTTTTTGTTTGTTTTTTTGTTGGTTTTTTTTCTCAGTTTTTTTTACCTTGCTTATTGCATCGAATCGTACAACCGGGTATACCGATGGCTTGTACAGCAACATTTAGTTCCCAACAGGTAAGAAATCAATAGGAGTTTATATCACTTCTCTATATACCAGATGTTTTTCGGTATAATGTTACGAATTTCAAGGGAACACCTTGGTGTGGTATACACAACGTGTCAGTGGTGATATTGACCTCTAGGGCAGTCATGATACCTGTTAGAACGTCTCCTAACGACAGATAAATCTTGAGGATCAGATGTTCCTGTCAGAACCATTTAACATATAACAATGGGCGTTGTCTAGGTCAATGAAATATGACAGATGCTTCTTATTTTGTTACACCTCCAGTGCAGCAGCTTGCTGTCAACGTTCCGTTCCTGACTTACTTAATTCTCTCATCTGAACTAAACAAATCTAACTACATTAAAAACAACCTACAACTTCGTGGAAAGACATTGTTTTACGAGGAGAACGCGTGCGTTTTTCTATGGTTATTTCCCAAATAAGAAATCTTCATGACTGTCAAATTTTTACATTTTACGATAACATCTAATTTTATGATCAACGTGAGCCAGATTCGAATCGGAACAGGCATAAATACGTTAATTAAGTAACAACACCAGAACAGAATAGTAACGGAAAGGCGACGAACTATCCGACACTAAAGGAATTTCATTCGTCAAAGTGTTTGGTAGCAAAGTATATAAAGAAATACATTATGACTACCCGTCGTTAATACAACGTTATTATTGAAAATAGCTATATGAACCCAAAACACAGTTTACAATTCAGAGTAACGGAAGAGAAATAACATATGATTAGGTTTCCGAAATTGTCCTGGTAATGAGAAAGAATACAGAAACGACCATTAGAACTTCTGACAATAGGCAATTACAATACAATTTATGTTTGCCAAACAATTTTGACACACAAATTGTACATTACCGTAAAAAAAACCCAAATCAAGACGCGACATACTTTCTTTAATAATACGCAAATGCAGCCTCAGTTTTATAAGAAACTGAAGGCTAATATTAAGTATGCGTTCATTTTTTTGTTTTGTTTTTAAGGTGTGTAATCAAAACTAATATTGTGTGATATTGATAGATATGTAGCGCAATGTCAACGTAATTTGTTTACACCTGGACAAACGGAATTTAATTACAAATCGGATGTAGTAAGGTTTCCCGATCGCACGTGAAAAAGATTTGCAATCGGACGTGAAAAGGTTTCCCGATAGGACGTAAAAAAGGTATCTCAATCGGACGTAAAAAGATTCTCAATCGACGTAAAAAGGATTCTCAATCGCACGTGAAAAAGATTTCCCAATCGGACCTGAAAATGATTTTTAATCGAACGTGAAAAAGATTCCCAATCGAGCGGAAAAAGATTCTTAATCTGATATTAAAAAAGATTC